GGTATTTCTCGGTCAGTCATCGTTCCATGATTGCTCCACACTCATCTATCACGCCCTCCACCCTGTGCGATAACCCTGACAGGTAGCACATTATCATATCCTCGGTGTTTATGCAGGGTGCTTCATCCCCAACCCACCATTTAGCTAGGAACAGAGCGAGGAATTTACGAAAATTCGGCGCATTGCGGAAGCAGAAAATGTCCTCGCCATTCGAGCCAATCAAGCAACCAACAAGAAACTATTTCCAGGTTGCTTGGCTTACTCTTCGACTGCAAAAATGGCAGTAGTACTCGCTTCCGAAACGTCAGTAAATTTGTGCACACAAGAGAAGTTCTTCAGTGTTGATCTGGAAACTGCATTACTCGCTGCGGACATCTTTACAGTTGGTCTCCAACAACTCAGTATATTTCGTGCAAAAAATACAAAGTTATTTCTCCGTATTCACGATCCATTCCCTACCGAAATTGTTTTCCAACCCCCCCCCCGATGCCTTGTTTAGTTTGATCTGTATTTTCAATAACCCGGAAAGTGTTGCAAAAAGCTTTTCTTTGTTTTATTCAGTCATTAGTACGTCTCGTCCGGAGATAGTGACTAGCTCTATCGATTGAGCCTAACAGAAACACTGATTTTACCCAAGGACGTGTATAGATCCTCGCCTCCGAAACGTCTTTTCCTGTAAGAATTAAGAGAAAGATAATATTAAAAAAATTAATTAAGACTCGATCACGTGGTCCCAAAAACTGTCTACTAGCCATTTGTCTTTCACTTCCCGTCTTATTCTACCCTGTGTTAAGACCAAAATTGAAATAGCGTCATTAAGTAACACATCAAAAAGTCCTGTAAACTTCGACTGTCCTTTAACAAGTAACTGTTTCCCCTTACATTTTATGCGTGTCAAACGTGGATTTCCTTGGGCATTAACTCATTTAATTTAATTTACTTAAAAGATGTGCGTACTGTTTTTTTCTTATTTTTGCAGGAGAGTTCACTCTGAAAATACAAACAAGTTTTCTATCTTAAAATCCTCTTCAAGTTGCCTTTAGTAATTAAATGAACATTTTAGAACGATAGGTTCTTTTCAATTCGCCAGTTCCACAGGGATGTCGCCGCTCACTCAAGCCCTGCTGCATTGTATGTGTACTTATCTGCTTCAACCTGTGCGCCAGTCCCTGTGGAAACACAGAGTTTCATCTGACCTCGTTCTGTTTACTGAGGAGCTTCGGCAGCCGCGTCTCAGAGTTTTCAGTGTTGCCGATACACCAGCTTTATGTATTTGATTCGTAACGTAGTTTATTTTCCAGAATGTAAAACGTCCATGTTTTATTCAGGGTACTTGGGAAAATAGAGCAAAATGGGGAGATCGTGAAACATTCGTTCTGTGTCGGAATTAGCTAGAAGGGAAACATTCACAGAGCCTCTAATGCCAGATTAAATTGCGGCAAGAATCCACTTCACAAATGTTTGTTTTTTTCTTTTCCCATTTCCTGTGTAAAAACATATAAATTAAAATACACACACGTAATGATATTGAAATACCAATTCACTTGTTGTTGCCTGTGGCTGTAAAATTTGTTCTGTACCTCTCTGTCTCTCTCTCTAAGGGCAGAACATCAGGCCGCGCCATAGCTCAAGCGGTTAGTCGCTGGCTTCCCACCGCGGCGGCCCTGGTTCGATCTCGGGTCTGTTCAAGTGGGATTTGTGATGGACAAAGTGGCGCTGGGGCAGGTTTTCTCCGAGTACTTTGGTTTCCACTGCCAATCTTCATTCCAGCAATTGCTCCACAATCACCCTCACCTATCATCTGGGGCTGGTACAATAGGCCAGAAGTGGCCACAGTACAAGGGACTTAGTCCCACCCCACTAGCAATAAAAAGGGCAGAATGTAGAGTGAGGGTGTCTGAGGAAAATATTTCGTAGAAGAGTACACGATAGGAAGGAAGCTAAAGGAAACAGCGGAACGAGAAGTGTGCTGATGTGCCCTCGTCACAACGCAATTTTACTGCGAGCTGCTAAGGGAAACTGATCACAGTAGCCGCACGGTCTAAAGTATGAACTGTCTTTGCCCGCTCGAACACTGAGGTCGTGGGTTAGAATCCCACTCGAGGCATGGGTGTTTGTCTATGTTTATTCTATGTTTATGTTGTCCTCTGTAGGTAGCGGCCTTGCGGCTGGCTGATCCCCGATCCAAGGAGTCCTACTGACTGTATTAGGATTAAGAAACTGAAGTGAAACGAAGCGTTTCACGGATGCCCTCTGCTCCAGAGGGAACAGCAGAAATACGGATGAATGCTTATGAGAATAAACTGAGTGATACGTGCAAGACGAAGGTGAGATATGAGAAGAAAGGAAAGAAATGACATTGGAGACACAGACATAGATGGAAGGATAATATTAATAAAGACGTGGGACTTATGTGGACTGGTGGTGACGAAGATTATGATAGTAATAAGAATTTCTGGATTCAGATTTATAAGCCGGATAATAGGTGAATTTGGACTTAACAATTCCAGCAGAAATATAAAAGGACTGGCATGTCTTTGTCTCGAACCCAAAACAAATAACACAGTGACAAGACAATAAAGTCGCAAGTACAATGAACTCGTTTAAGTAGCTTGTATGCTGAGTGTGTTATGGGGCTGCATAATGTAGATCCTAACATTGATGTAGCAGTCCTCGCAAACACGAATTTTAGCCAGCGAAACGCCGTGGAGCACGCTGCAATAAAAGGGCATATTATCCTCGCTTTACCCGAACCTTTATATGAGAGTGGATGTTGGACAGCAAAAGCAAAAAGATAAAGCCGGAGTTAGAGCCGCTGAAATTAAATTCATGAGAAAAACGGCGAACTGTATTTGAATGAAATGTAAAAGGAAATTAAGTCATATTGAAATAATTAAAAAAACAGGAACCGTATTGGAGAGCGTCTCTTAATGTCAGACAGAACAGATTCAGGACGTCCACAGGACGCAAAGAAACAGACTTTTAGAAAGTAATGACTTTATGGTGTGCTTGAAAAGGTTCCGTTTTTGGCCTTATGTGAATTAAGCTTTGTACAGAGTTCAAGAATGGTGGAGCTATGTATTCACTCTTGAATATGTCTTCAAGACGTGGTGTTTAATTCATTAAGCACAAAGACAACTTTACCTCTTATTTTAATAATTCAATGTGGCTAAAACAGTAGCCGATCGGTCTAAGACATGCACTGTCTTCGCTAGCTCGTAAACCGGGATCGTGGGTTCGAATCCCACACAAAGCATACATGTTTGGTGTGTGTGTATACGTTTATTCTGTGTTTGTGTTGTCCTGTGTTTAGGTACAGGCCTTGCGACGCGCAGATCACTCCTCCAAGGAGTCCTACTGTCTCTAAACGATCATGAAACTGAAAATCAGAGGTCAGGGCCCAAGGGGGCTGTAGAGTCAGCGAAAAAAAGGCTGAAAATCAAAATGGTTGATTATTGTTACATAAAAACATATCGTAATCGGTCAGTATATATATATATATATATATATATATATAAATACACATGCAATATTAATATTATCGAAGCATTTCTCATGCCGAGTTTAAGAAAAAAATATTTATTAGCGGTTCATTACGTACATAAAAAATTCCATCGTTGAATTTATGTAGAGGATCTTTTGTAATCCTTTTTCTTTTCCTGTTTCTACTGCCTTTGTCTCGCCAAGTTCAATGCTGTGCCTGTAACGAGGTAAAGTCTATATCCAGGGGCAGTGTTGGTGTCTTGCTCCGTTGTACTTTGTCGTGTGGTCTGCTGGATACTGGAGAAATGAGGTGGGACAGTCACTTTGGAAGGAAGCCAGATCTGCGGTGGCCAGCAGACGCGTCGCGACGCTCACCTCTTGCCCACGCTTCCCATGATTACATTCGCTTTCAAATTTCACTGAAGTTAATACGGAAGTCAGAAAACAGATGGCATCACAGACTAAGCGCAGGCCCATCTAGTGATACGTGTTGCCAGGTCTTCTGACTGAGGACTTCAGTTGTTTCCTTCATCTCGTCCAGGGAAATGCTTCGACTTTACCTTCAACTGGGAGGAGACAGTCTGTAAGCTAATTCATTATTAGGATTCTGTCTCGATTCCCCACAATGCTGTATTTGAAGCTGCGTCGCTAAATGATATACTTACTTATGGAGCTGAGCCCTTCTTGAGGAGCCGCCAAATCTGCAGCTACTCAAGAATACCCCAGCATTTTATGGAAACTGAAAGTGCATTACCGTGTTCACAAGAGCCCTCCAGTGGTCCCTAACCTGAGCCAGATCAATCCAATCCATAACATTCCGTTTTATCTCTCTAAGATCCATTTTAATATTGTCGACCCACCTACGCCTTGGTCTTCCCAGTGCTGTCTTTCCTTTTAGTTTTCCCACCAATATCCTATATGCATTTCTCTTCTCCCCAATTCGTGCTGCATACCTTGTCCACCTCATCCTCCTTGACTTAATCATTCTAATTATACTTGGAGAAGAGTACAAGTTATGACGCTCCTCATTATGCAGTTTCCTCCAGCCTCCTGTCTGCGCTAAATGACAAGAATTAATAATTCAACCTTGTTTACATACAGCTTTCCGTCAATACTGTAACTATTTATATCTTCCTTCACATTTGCCTTCGCTATTAACACAACATGTTTCGGCGCCAAACGGCCATCCTTAGGTGTCCAATGACGCCATTTTTGTTTCATCTCTATAGCCAGGAAAAAACTATCTCCTGAGATATAACGCCATGTAATATCTTGAAAGTAAACCGACGTTTCGGATTATGGCGCCTGCTCCGGTCTGAACGCTGGTATCTGTCTTTGCCTTATTCTTCGAACCTAAATTTAGAAATTGTATGTTGCTCCGAAACGTCGGTTGACTTTCAGAAGACAATATGAAGTTGTATCCTGAAGATGTAATAACCTCAAACCCTAGATACGAAACACGGATGTATGTGCTGAGTGCTGTATGCGTTGCTAAATTAGTTATTCTCGTGTTTCAGGGTAAATCCTGTGTGAGCTTCTAGCTGTGGATACCTGCACACAGCGGCAAGTTGAAGGTAAGCCGTGAGTATGAAGCTTAGTAGACACAGTAGCAGTATTACAATCTCAACGTATTTGCCTAACAACGAAACAGTCGTATGAAGGTTGCTGTCTTCTGAGATGTGTCGCCGTGTAGTCTGGTAGAATTTTACTGACGTGTCGAACATATTGTCAGTATCTTCTATATCCAGTATGCCTAAGTCGACTAAGCAAGTAGAGTGAACCATATTTAACCCTGAAGATGGAAGCATTACGTTCCCTGAAATGTGAGTAAAATTGTGCCGTCTTTCTGCTAAGGTTTAATGTGATCTGTAACCCAGGAAAATTGGAACGTGTGGCGCATACAAGTGACCTGTAGTTGAGGCGCACAGCAAGAATTTCCAGCAAACCTAGACGCTGGTTGGTCCCTTTCCGACTGTTTCGATATCACCGTTCTTTATCACCATCGCTACTCACCCAACGCTACAATATATAATTTCTATAGCTGAAACACTGGAACACTTGGTGAAGCACTGCGCTACAAGCCGAAAGGTCACGGTTTTGATCCCCGACGAGGTTATTAGATTTTTCAATTTGCGTAATCCTTCCGCCCACACTATGGCCCTGGGGTTGACTCAGCCTCAAACAGAAATGAGCACTAGGAATCTTTGTGGGGGTAAAGGGCGGCCGGCGCGTAATACTGACAAAATCACTGCCAACTCTAAGCCGATTGTATAGAAAATGTGGGAGCCTCCACGTCTCACAACCCTGCAGGCCTCCACGGGCTGTTAACAGGAATAGTTTAACACTTTATCTTTTTAGTTGAAACATTGTCGTTAAATGAGGTAAGAAACATGCAAGTACCTGATAGTGTATGGAGACTCTCTACCGAATACGGGTAACCCGCTCGGTGGCTGTAACAAACCCGGCAGCCTTACACCGTGTTCCAACCCGTCACGAGGCTTCATGTGACTTGGTGACGTGTATGGAGCGATTTAGGTGACAGGCAACACCTGTCCGGGTTTGCACTGGAGCTGAGTAACTCGCGACCGCAAATCCAACGTGGACACAGCTGTACATACTAATGGTGTCCAAGCTGGTGACGCGAAGCGACGCGTCGCGAGGTCTCGACCGCAGCAGCTGCGGTCACCAGCCGTTGTGACTTAATAAATCAGACTGAACTTCCCCTCCTCACTAAACCGTAACCGGGCCCCTGGACCGTTGTAATTTCCTCGAAATTGGCGAGTGTTACGTGATTTGTGTCGTGAATATGTTAATCGGGTTCTGCGGAGAATATTTGGACCGAAGAGAGATGAAGTGACAGGAGGTTGGAGAAAACTGCATAATGAGGAGCTTCATAACTTGTACTCCTCTCCAGGTATAATTAGAATGATCAAGTTAATGAGGAATGAGGATGAGATGGGCATGGCATGTAGCACGAATGGGAGAGAAGAGGAATGCATAGAGGATGTTGGTGGGAAATCCAGAAGGAAAAAAACCACTGGGAAGACCAAGGCGTAGGTGGGTAGACAACATGATAATGGATCTTAGAGAGAGAGGATGGGATGGCATGGATTGGATTCATCTGTCTTAGGATAGGGACCAGTGGATGGCTCTTGTGAACACGATAATGAACCTTCGGGTTCCATAAAAATGCTTGAAAATTCTTGAGTAGCTGCAGGATTGGCGGCTCCTCCAGAAGGTCTCAGCTCCATAAGTAAGTACCAGAGTACACGGTGAGATCCCAGAAAACAATAACGTTCATGGTTACCGAAGTCAGTACCTTAATAAAATATTGGATGTCTCGGAAAAGATCCGATCCGGTAGCCTCCCGAAGGTAAGTCCGAAGTGTTGCCAATTGCAGATGCCTCGTTCTTCTGTCATTGTGTTTCAGTACGCGTCATGGTACCTGTGATTCGTACGGTAGGGATTTTTGATGGCCACTGCATAAGCCTAAGCCGATTGTCTAGAAAATGTGGGAGCCTCGACGTCTCATAAGCGTATGGGCCTCCACGGCCTGTTACAGGGATAGCTTTCCGTGTTACCTGTTTAGTTTCCAGCAACCAGGGGCAACCAGGCTGTCCGTTCAGGGCATCTGGCACTGCTCATGAAGCCTTTTCACGGTGAACAAACCTCGCCGCCTGGAGAGGGTATTAAGCTTCAAAACTGTCGTATCCCATGGAATGCAGCGTCGTTCCCTTCTGCTTTGATGTCGCTTCAGACCCCTGCTTGTTGAGCTCAAAGGCAGAAGGGTAGCTCACAGCAAGCGGAATATTAGAATCAAGCATCTGTAGGCTTTAAGGAGAATGCAGTCGAGCGGCATAATACAGCGGTAACGATCTAGATACGCGCTCTGGCAGAATCAGTGTTCGAATCCCAGCTACCCCGAATCAGGTTTCAAGAGGATTTCCTTAGTCACAGCAGGCAAATTCAAGCATCTCACGCTTGTTAGACCACAACCGCTTCCTTCTAAGTCCTTCTCAATACATTTCTCTTTAATTACACTGAAACCGCCGTAAGATAATTCGCCAGTAGTCACCATCGCGAGTTTGCCAAATGTCGCGTGTAGGCATTTGGTCATCAGCCTCAAAGCCGGAAGCTGATTCATCTCAAGGGTTATGGAGTATAGGCCTGTTGGTAAGAAGTGAGTGTGTAAACAGCGACCTTCCGTCTTGTAGCATAATATCTCAACCAGCTATGCTACCGCGTGACCCCTCAATCTATATATATATATATATATTAATGAACACCATTAACATAATAATAATATAAGATTATCCTTTTGTTAAAGTAGACGCCACGCTGTTAAAAGAGATAGGCGAAAGGAGGCATACATCCACGTATTCCTAAACCAGGCCTCTTTGCCCGCACAGAGATAGACCCCGGGACTATCACCTAGAAAGCTGGGTGGGCCCCAGAGCTGGTTAGGGCCCTTTGAAGAACAGAGAAGCCTGTTGCCACTCTCGGGGATCGAACCATCATTCCTTGGTAGTATAATCCCTAGCTTAGTCACTGCAGTGACTGAGCTATCCCGACTGTATTAGTTGAGTTATGTTCTCTATTTATTTTCGTGCTGAATTCATAAGCGAGGGACCAGTGAAAGAGTCAGCACAGTAAGAAAGCAAAGACAACAGTAAAACAAAAACAAACAGTCAATAAATTGTGGTTACTTTAACTGAACTATGTCGGTTTACAGACTGCATTAGCGGCAGAAACACATAAGCAGAGGGCAGTTGTTGCAGGGAAAACTGAAGGGAGGAAATAGCGCGTGTTTCGAGCTGGAACATGTATAATGATAATTATAATAATAAAAAATATAAAAGGTAAAGTTGTCCCTGTGCTTAACTAATTAAACACTGAGCCATGAAGACGTATGGGGAGTGGGTGTATAGATCCACATTTTGTTGACCTCGGCACTAATTCGAGGTAAGTGGTCAGCTTCACGCCCCAGCCGCTTTACCCCCGGTACCCATCGTATAGGAGGGTTTGAGGACCTCAGAGCCGGTCTGAACGACACGGAGAAGGTAAATTTCTTTCGCAACCGGGACTCAACCCCCGAATTCTCCGTCCTCCAGCCCGTAGCCAGTCGCTATACCGACTGAGCTATCCCGGCTCCCCAATAATAATAACAATTTCGGCTCATTAGCAGGACCGAATGGAGGAGTTGGCAGTCACTTGACGAGCCACATAACTGCGTAATGAAACTGTGTTATGGAGGCAGCTGCTAGAGTTATGACACACTCCAGACTTGAACTCGGGATATTTGCGAAGGGCAAGGACGGACATTAACGCATGTGCTGTATGATTCATGTGTTTTCCTGTCGTGAAACACGTTAAATAAGCTCGAAGTGCGGCAGTTATAAGTGCGCAGACAAGCAATTCATTACCGCGAAGCAATTAACGCCGAGGGCTGATAGACTGTACCATTCAGTCAGAAGTAAACAAGTGTGACAAATGTCTGCGGGTACTATTGGCGCCTTCGGCAATTCGGAGAGCGGCGTCTCTTCTGCTTTCGTAATGTGACGCTTCGCAAATTCGCAGTCGCAATTTCTACACCCCCCCCCCGTCCGTGCCCATTATCAGCAAGAGAATGCTCCTGCTTAAGAAAGTAACAGATAACGGACTGGCTTCTCACCACAAAAGTCCGGGTTCCATCACAGAGCATTCGTTTGGGATTTGTGGTGAACGAAACGGCACTATAGCACGGTCTATCCGAGTACTTATGTTTCCCTCCCAATTTTCATTCCTCCAAATATTCCATTTTTTATTCTCTCATTCGGAGTAGATACAATGGCATATTTGCGACCTGAGTACCGAGCGGCTCAGCCCATCCTTACTCTAATAAAATGAGAGAGACAGAACGGGTCAGGTTTTCAGCTCGGAGATCCAGGTTCATTTCCTGGCACGGAAATTGTATATGGGGAGAAATAAAGAATGCCGTCTTCTTGGATGTGGCGCCGTGTAGATCTTGTATAAGCCGACGTTTCGGAGGAAAGTATCGCCTCTGTCTTCAGGGAACAAGGAACCTTCGTGAGCAGGTGGCTGCAGACTGCAGTCTGCAGGCAATACATTCCTCTGAAACGTCGGTTTATACAAGATCTACACGACGCCACATACAAAAAACAGCATTCTTCATAGTTACCGCCGCATAAAACCTCAAATCTAACATGGTAAGATATATTCGAAGAAAAAGCTTTTCTTAATATACTCCGTTTATATGGAAAGAAATTTATTCACAAAAACAGTTGCGGAACAGCGAGTGGAGATCTAAGAAACTCATTTACATGAATGGTGTGGGTCTGTTCTCTGTTGTGGCTTCCCATGTAGTTTTTGCTCTCAAGCATGACATGAGAATTCGTTTTGAACTATTTGCTCTTCATGAAGTTTAAATAAAGACAAAATTTTAATCACTGTCATAAAGTGACGTATTCCATTTTAAAGCGACACAAAAGTGTATCATGAGGTAATATCCTGTTCTGTAGCTTCACGTTTTGCTTTATCTGTATACAGCAAAACATGACACAGTCTCTGCATTTGT